CTACTGGCAGTGCCCTGAGAGCTCTTTTATTAACTTAGCATTACATACTGTGTTATGGAGAAACAGATAAGATACTACCTAATAATAACTAAGATTGGCTAAAATAACCCTTTGATCTTATGTTCTACCTCTAAGCAAAAGAGCAGAAGAAGGGGTTAGCCTGCCTGCTGGCAGCTGCTGCTTCCTGACAGGAGTGTATGCACATAACTGAAACAGAATGCAGCTACAACCTTTAAGCAGAAGTTTCCCACAAACAATAATAATAACCTTTGAATTGCAGAGCTGGAAGGGACGCTATGGATCATTGAATCCAGCCCCTCTCAAAGAGGTGGCTCCACAATCAGAGATCTAAGCCATTTCTTTATTCAGTGCATTCTTCTTCCATTATCATATAAACTTTTCTTATGTCTTCTATTTCCTTATATATATATATTTTAAAACTCTCTTATTATCAGCACTTATAGAAGGCAGTTGGGATCATGCACTAAATGAGCAATTAAATGCATAGGAAGAGATTATAACAAAAGAGAGAAAAGTAAGTTAAAATGGAAAATGAACTGGAGACAATTTTGAGTGAAATTTTTTATGGAGAACAATCTGACACCCATATTGATTTGTTTCTGCTTGGAGTATGACTGTTTTTAGAACAGCTGAAAATACTGTTTTTAAGGAGGAACCTCGTGAATCCATAGTGATCTGAACTGTAGAGTGATGCAATTTACAGTATTTCTTCTTGAAAGACTGTAGTCAATTAATGTATCAAGGTATTAGAAGTCTTGTAGTAATTTGAATGCAATCTACAGGATTTATTTAGTGTATTTAAATGCTGTGTTTTTGCCAAGGTACCCAAAGTGACTTACCAGTTTAAAATGCTAATTATATGTACAAAATAGAAGCATTCTCTGAGATTGACTGAAGGTCTTTTTGGAAAATGGTGGCATAAATTTTTTGGAGTGGATATTTGCCCTTCCTCAGTGGATACAGGTTTTCCAAAGCCTCAGGGCAGAGAGTGGAGGGACTGCCATGAAATCTGAACTGTAATTCTAAATCTTTTTCTATGAATTTCTAGAGTTTTCCCCCGTGTAAAAAACACCGATGTCACACTAGTATATGCATCCACATTTTCTTCATCATGGCAAGAATATTGCTGATTTGTGGTAGGCAAAAGGAATTATTAGCCTTCTTCTCAAGTTTGAAGCTACAGAAAATGTCAAGGATTCTCCTGGCAGTTGTGTGTGGCAATTATTGCCCCTTTCCCAAGCTTGGAAAGACCGTGTTTTTTTTAGTTTTGGCAATTGAGTGTTTAAAATGATTGAGGCATTTTGACCGTGTATGGCCAATGACCCTTGGAAGGCAGCACACTCTCCTGCATCCCATCCTCCAAAATATTGCTCTTCAGCAACAAAAATTAAACTGAAAAGGGGCCCTTGTATCAGAAAACTACAGTGGAAATCTTTTCTGTTTCATGAAGACCAGATAGAAAGATCAATGGGAAGACAGTTCAAGGAGCAGAGATAACAAATCACAGTTCTAGGATGTTAATCAAACTATACAAAGATTGAATTCAATTGAGTGAATTCATACAGCTACGTGGTACCCACGTAGAACAGAGAACAGATGTTTGAAGGCTGTTCACTGTTCTGACACTGTGACCAACTGCCAAAATCGAGGTAGACAGCCCAGCTGGCCCTCTACTCTGAACCTGTTGCTGTTGAACGCCAGGTCTGTATCTAGTAACAAATCCCAGCTTATTCAAGACCTTATTCTGGAGGAGGATGCAGACCTGGCGTGCATAACTGAGACCTGGATGGGTGGGGAAGGAGGGGTTACTCTAACCCTCTCCTGCCGTCCAGGCTATGCAGTCCAGCACCAGGGCAGACTGGAGGGGCGGGGGGGGGAGTTGCCATTGTTTATAGAAAATCCTTGAAGGTTACAAGGCACTCCTCGGTTGTGAAGCCAGGTCTGGAGGCTCTTCATGTGCGTATTGGGACCAGGGACGGTATTGGGATCTTGCTTGGTTACCGTGCTTCCCGCGATCCAGCCACCTCCCACTTCATCTCCGTGGCACTGTTGGAGTCCCCAAGACTTCTGATCCTGGGTGATTTCAACATCCATGCGGAGGCGGAGGTATCCGGTCCAGCTCTTGAGTTCTTGGAAACCATGGCTTTCTTGAACTTGTCCTAACATGTTAACGGTCCCACACACATGGGCGGCCATATGCTTGACCTGGTATTCTCCACTGAGGTTAGTGAGCGTGGTCCGATGGTGGCTGACCTCGTGTCAGTCCCCTTGTCATGGTCGGACCATCACCTGATAAAATGTACCCTCGCAATGGAGCTCCCCCCCTGCAGGGAGCAGGGACCTATTTTAATGGTCCGCCCTCGAAGGTTACTGGATTCCATGAGATTCCAGGACACCATGAGAGGGATCCCAGCGGCACTGTCTGGCGCTCCTGTCGAAGCTCTGGTGGACGGCTGGTTCTCCGCTGCTACTAGGGCTGCTGACACGATCGCACCCAAACGCCCTCTCAGGAGCAGAGCTCGGCCAGGTCCCTGGTATACCCAGGATCTACAAGCAATGAGCGAATAAGGAGACGGCTAGAGAGCGCGTGGAGAAAGAAACCGACGGATTGCAACAAAATCGCTGTCAGGATCGCAACTAACCGTTACCTGGCCAAGGTAAAGGATGCTAGAAGATCTTACATTGCTGACCGGATAAGTGATGCTTCTAATCAGCAGGCGGAACTCTTCCGTATAGTTCGCGATCTATCTGGAATTGGTCTGGGTGAAGGTCCTCACCGCTAGCACCTCCCCTGACCAATTTGCAGCATTTTTAAAATCAAAAGTGGAGGCCATCCGCCGTGATCTTTCTCCTGTTTTAAATACAATGGATCGAGCTGAGATGTCCAGCGCTCCGCCTTGCCCGGTTATTCTCGATTCCTTTCAGCCTGTGACGCCAGATTTGGTGGACAAGGCGCTTGATCGCTGTCGGGCCTCCACCTCTTCTCTTGACCCTTGCCCGGCCTGGCTAATCAAAGCAGCCAGGCCTGTAACAACAGAATGGGCCACAGCAATAATTAATGGGTCTCTCCAGGAGGGCAAGGTACCCCTTGCCCTCAAGGAGACACTCATTAGACCCATTAGGAAGAAACCACATTTGGCGACGGATGACATTGGAAATTATAGGCCCGTCGCCAACGTTTCTTTCCTTAGCAAGGTGGTTGAGAGGGTGGTGGCAGATCAGCTCCAGGTGCTCTTGGACGAAACCAATGCTCTGGACACATTCCAGTTAGGCTTCAGGCCACGCTATGGCACGGAAACGGCATCGGTCGCACTGATGGATGACCTGTTGAGGGAGGCCGACAGGGGTAATACATCCTTGTTGGTCCTCCTTGACATCTCAGCGGCCTTTGATACCATTGACCACGGTATCCTCCTGGGGAGGCTCTCTGAGTTAGGAATAGGTGGCCTAGCACTTGCTTGGCTCCGTTCCTTCTTGAAGGACCAGCCCCAGAGAGTACAGCTTGGAGAGACTGTTTCAACCCCGTGGAGCCTCAATTGTGGGGTTCCACAGGGGTCGATCATCTCTCCAATGCTGTTTAACATCTATATGAGGCTGCTGGGAGGGGTCATCAGGGGGTGTGGAGCTTCGTGTCGCCAGTACGCTGACGACACGCAGCTCTACATTTCCTCTTCATCTACCTCAGTGGATGCTGTTCCGTCCCTTCAGCGCTGCCTGGAGACTGTACTGGAATGGATGCAGTCGAATGGGTTGAAGCTGAACCCGGACAAGACGGAGGTCTTGAGGGTGGGTGGCCCTTCCATTAGTGGCATATGTGACTCTCTCTCTTTTGGGGAGACAACCCTTGCCGCAAAGAGTGAGGTCCACAGCTTGGGGATACATCTGGA